TACGAATATTAGTTTTCAGCTGCTCTTATACATCATTTAAGTAAAATCCCAGGAAGATCAATAGTTTAGTAGTTCGGATTTTAGTGACGTCATGTGAAAACCAGCTATAGGGCGAGGGGGAGTGGGGGCTGGCTGTGGTGGGGAGAGTATAGTAAGGGAGAAAGATTTGAGACAATTCTCATTCAAAGGAGAGAAAAACAAAATCGTTTTTTTTTTTGTAGGGAAAAGTGGAGGAGGAGGAAGTAAGACTTAAATCGGTGTCATTTTCGAACTCCCAGAGAGTGTCGGAGCAGAATCTCAAACCTTGTGATGATCACAGAGCTGCTTTATTCACATGTTCTTAATATGGAGAGCGATTCTCTTCATACAAATAGTTTCAGGCGTATACACCTCTCTGTTTTTAGACACAGTTTAATTGAAAATGCCTTTGCGGCCCTAAAAGTTTCCGGGGCTTTCGAGAAACAGGCCCCGGGGATCATTTGTGGTCCCGAAATCGTTTGCGGAGCCGTAGTACCAGGCACTTAGCTCGATATATGCTCTGTTGCTCATATTAATGCACTTGGTATGATGCCATTTACAAAATAATAAACCACGAACTCCTGCTGTAAACCATATTATGATATCAACCGCCCAACTCCACCCTATAACGCTTGCCACGGATCGAGGCTATATTTACGTCAGTAGGACAGCTTGAGACCCTGTGTAGGACAGCGTAGCGCAGCGAGGCTAAAAACCAGATATTCCCTGTCGGGAGGCACGGCCCCCGTATGGAGGCGGGTATCCCCTATCCGGAACATTATCACTGTTAGTTATATAATAACTTGACAGGTGCAGAAGGGAGGGACCCGATTTGGTTCCAGGACCTTTCGTTTGTATGCCACATTCCATACAAAATAATCCTCTCGACTCTGCGTTTCTTTTTTTTTTCATCTTTTTCAGTTAAAACATAAGTAGAGCCATTTGATTCGAGCAAACAAGTCGGTTTGATATTATGCTGCCCCCAAGAAAAGAATAGATGTTTGCGACCGGAATCCGAAAAATCTACCGGGAAAAAAAATGTTATTTTTAGCTTCGTCTCGAGGGAGTACCAAAGTATCGTATGCCAAAAGCTGGGTCACATGTGAGGGCAAACGAGTATCGGATGACAAAGCGCGCTTTTCGTATTTTGGTCAGCAATATATTCGTTAGAGTACAACACAAGTTCCGTATTTTCATCGCTCCTCGAGCCTGTAAACACTGTTTTCAGAACTGAGCGTTGTTCCAGCTTTGTTAGCTTCGTAGAGGTGCTTGTTTGCTCCATAATCGACCAGCCTTGCGAGGTAAGCCGTGCGATTTGATTTTCCCTGTTATTAGCAACGGTTATTTGTGTGTGTGATGCCCGCCAAAACTTTCTCTAACGACGTTAGTGTACAAGCGATAGGGAAATTTCTTTCTCGCTGTAGGTGTTGAATTGTCAAAAATCTTGCCAAATTGCTTGCAAAAGTATTACAGAAATGTGTTGTAAAATTTCGTGTCCTGCGTCACGGTAAACATAAAGCACTGGGTTGATTTGAAATTCAAATTTTAACACGATAACAAAATAATTGGGCAATTATCCCTGGAGAAGAGACGTTCAATATTCGAAATTACACTTCAGACTCTTTCAATTTGTCCTTTGATTCGGTTCACTGGACTGACACACTTCTAAACCCTTGCACTGCAAAGCAATCAATTCTGGACAAAAAATATCGCAAATTTTACTTTCAAGCTAATGCTGACGATTACTTAACTTTACGGTTTAAATGGTCGCTTAATTGCTTTAGATGCCAGTGAAATTGTGCCATACAATTAAAATGCCAGCCTCTTTGCAATGGCGTAGACAAAGCTTAGCTACAAAAAAATTAACTTCGTCCGCGCGCCTGCAAAAGCCTAGTGCGACCTTTTACTATTCGTATTTCTTCTCATGCTGAGAAAGACAACGAAAAGGTCAGGTAAGCGCAGGAAGCTAAGGAAGGTAAAAGGGTGTTCTACAAACGAGCTAAATTTGTCACAGTTTTGGAAGAACAGGAAGATTTTAGGGCCGCCTACACAAAGAAATCACGTCAGAGTTTCATCTAAGTACATAGACGAAGTAAATGTTCCTGGTTACAGAGGGTGGCTACTAAAAATGTTTTTTAAAAAGCTAACAGGAAGAAACTCCAATATCTTTTCGCTAAGAAATTTTAAGTAAAGGTGATTTCTATTTATAAGTGGATTTTGGACTTCAAAGACGTTAGAGAAGTAAAAGTTAATTTATCCTGAAGGGTTATCCTGTATAAATATTCGTTATTATCATTATTATTTATTAGAAATTCAAAGTGTACATTGTCAGTTAAATTCTGGAGTCACTAGGCCGTTTCCGAACGATTTTAGGAACAACAACAGAGACTTAATAAAAACAAAAATTATGGTCTTTTGTTTTAGAAATTTCTCTTTTAATTCCTTTTTCTTTTCGATTAATGGCCAACTGAGAATTATCTGATTGTTATTGACTTTACAAAAGGTTTTTAACATGATACGTATAAACCTTTATATTTTCCAACGTCCCTTTGTTACTAAATACAAAGACCGATCATAAATTTTGGGCCCATATGAAATCTGTCGTTGACGATTTTTTTTTAATAATTAGTAAATTACCCACAACAAAGGGCATTGGATTCTCGGGAGAAAATAAACAGAGCTAAGACCATTGGTAAAAAGAAAACTGTTTTCATAGCCGAAACGCTACTCTGAAATGGACGTAAGAAAATCTACATAAACAACAGATACTCATTTGAAATGGCTTTCTGATGCTACACCTTGAGCATGTAAAACGGTTTTAGCTTTCTTAATCAACAGTGTCATGTTTTTCAAAGAAGGTAGTTTAAAAAAGCCTCGACGACCGTTAACTCGACGAACATGCTTTAACGTTTGGCTGAGCTTTTCCCTTGGCATATTTCAGTTATTTTAATACAAAGAAATTATAATTATGATCGATAGCGGTTGAATGCTTTTCGGTAAATGGCCTGTAAACTTTCTTTTGCTTTCAATTCCGATAAATTTGCAAAGGTATTAGTTGCTAAAGAAACTTTTGGGCAAGTGAAACACTCGACATGCATTAATCGTCAGAGTAAAGTTTCAACTCAACGATCACGAACAACTTTGGGGAAACAATAGTCTAAAAACGCGCACTCGAAATTAAAATAAATCGCCCGTTTTTTTTATCAGTTTCACATTTCTTGGTCATTTCAACGACTGCTTCAAAACGTTATACGAATGTAATGAAACAATTTGAAATTTTGCCAAAAGAATATTGTACTGGATCAAATATTGGTCAAATTTACCTCAAGCCACATGCGAAATGTTAAGTGTATGCAATCCTTTAATCTGCGTAAATGGATTCAATGAATCGGTTTAAGTTTACTGAAGACGCCCGAGGACGAAATCGATATAGTCTAACTAATCTGGCCAAATCTTAACCATAATTATTACCATTTACAAAACTTTCTCGCTATTTGGACTAGAAATTAAAAACAAAATTCAGGGAAAGGACAGCATGAGTAAGATGCTAAAACGAACTCAATTAAGTGGCCTATACCACATTCATAATTTATTTTCCGAGTTCAGTGACTCACAGTCACTTTGATTTGTCTATTAGGACCTTTTCTCGTGTCATTTTTGGTGATAATTTCTGCTCTGTTTCTTCGATTTGGAGACAAATATGTATTCTGTCGAACCTCCGGTTGCGACCACCTCTCGTAAGCGGCCAGTTTTCCAAAATACCAAAATTTTCAAGTCAAATCACTGCATTTGGAACCTCTTGTAAGCGACCGCGACCACTTTCAGAACTAAAAGTTTGAAATTTTTTTTTGTTTTTAACCTCCCGTAAGCGACCACTTGACAGATAATATAGCGGAAATTGGATAATACGGTGTTGTAACATCCCATTCCTGGATAGTTCAAGAGACGAAAATCTCTCGATGGGAAGTCGTATTTTTCTCGAAATTGACTTTTCATATAAATAAAAACATTTAAATGAAAATATGGGGTAAGTCTCTGCAGTTACTATATGCTAATGAGGGAAAATTTTGACCCAGTATGGTCTAAGCTCTCGTAAGCCGGCGACCATCTTCCGTAAGCGACTACACAGGCTTGACATTTTGGCTCGTCGCTTACGGGAGGTTCGACTGTAACTCTTTCATCCGGGTTATACTGTCATAAATAGGCTGCTCCTTTCTCCTTTCCATAATAGATTTCATTAAGATTATCAACATCTGTTTTCTGTTTACAAATCGATAAATAGCCAGGCAGACAAATAACGAGAATAACGAAACTCAAGATATTGTCTTGATGCAACACCAAATTCTCGCAATTAGCATTGAAAGCCAGTAGGTGGATAATTTATTGTGTAGGCTTGAACTTACATAGTCACGGCCTGATTTTCTTTATTAATTATTTTCAGTTCTAATCATGTCTGGATTTTCTTCGGTTTGTTGCTGTGTCCTACTCCTCGCCTTGGTGCACTCAAGCCAGTCTAATAACCCGTTTGACCAGTTTGGTGTCTACTGCAAACCGGAGACATTCAGTCAGCGAGCCAGCAAAACAGGTTGCGATTCAAAGTACATCCGAGTGAAAGCCTGTCTTGGCACATGCGCGTCATACGCTTATCCGCTGGACCACCCGCCTTACTTCAAGAAATTCTGCGAATGCTGTAAGCCATCAGCTAAAAGATGGAAGGTGTTTAATCTGCCAAACTGCGCCTCAGGGATCTCCCCTCTAGTACAAGTGGAAACTGCCGTGAACTGCAAGTGTTCGGCTTGCACGTGAAGAAAAAAAAACTTGTTAAGTAGCCGTTGATAAAAAGTGAGTCCTTAGACTCCAATAGAATTTATTCAAATAATGATACGACAAAATGACATCTCCTCAAAGGGAATGAATATCCCGTTCTAGTGTCACGCAATCTTTATGTCACGCAAGACCTTGAGATAATGTAAATTAAGTAATTCTGGAATAAATAAATTGGAAATTGAAAGGCTCCTAGCTGTTTTACCTGTAAGTTGACTCAGGGTATAAACGACATCGTGGGTGGGAGGGCTGAATATCAGGGAATAGTCAACTATGGCTGAACCAATCAAATTAACCGACCAGCAATGAACCAATCAAGTTAACAGATTGAGATAAACCAATCAAGTTAACGGATCAGCAATAAACCAATCAAATTAACGGATTCGCAATGAACCATGGGTGTTTGGTTCCGATAAAAGGCTAGTGCTCGAAATGAAACCTTTTAAAGTCCGAGTCTCTCTGGCGGTTACCCTTACTTACTTCAAGTTGATTATCGTAAGGTAAGTTGTTTCTCCTAAAATGTTCTTTACCATGTATAGAACAGATAAACGCGTTTAGTTAGGATCTTAGGAACAAAACACTTTTGAAGCGCTATCTTGTAACAAAGTCACTTCGTAATGAACAACATAACTGGGCAAATAGGAAGTTTAAGTAACTACGACGTCGACGCCGAGGACAACGTCGATTAAAAAAAATGAATTTATTTTTTACCTACGAATCTCGCGACACTCTTAAGTCATTAACTTTGTTTCCCTCTGTGAAAACTATCTCAAATAATGAATATGGAGCACAGCGTAAAATTCAAAATATACAGTTTAAAAACTATTTGTCGTGGTTCACGTTTTCCAGACAACGCAGAATTTGGTAAAGAGAGACGTTTAACATTCCGAAATTGTTTTCTAGGGACTTCGATCTTTGTTCAATTTTACTTTAATGGACTATTTGTGCAACAGAGGACTCAGTTCTCGAGAATGAATCATAAATCCGCTTTGGTTTGGTTAATAGCAAGCTAGCATGTCGATTAGTTGTTTAAAACGCCCGCGAAAATGTTCAAAGTACGCTTGTAGATAATCGAAATGGTATTTTTTTAATCACAGGGCTGACAAGCTGATTCAACACACTCGCACACTCGTAAAAAGTCACTATCATCTTTCACTATTTGAATTCATATTTCTTCCCATAAAAGGAAGATAAAGATAAGAAAAAAGGCAAATGAGCAAAGAAAACTAACTTTAATTTTAAATGGTACTGAATATTAATTAAGTTAGTTAATTGCCGTCGGTTTTGGTTTATTAATTAGGTTTCTACGTGTCTTTTATTTGCAACAACTGTGAGGTTTTTCTTCGAAATGGCGATTATTTATATCTGCACGTCGCAGAAAAAGTTATCATCCAGGCCTTATTGGTGCAAATCGGTTCGATCCTTATTCGTCTTTTCCGTAGTTGCCGCAAGATTTTCAAAACCTCTTTCCTCCTTGCAGATTGATATACTGGCAGGCACAAAGGTGACGAGAATTAAGACTGAACCACTGACTAGGGGATATTTATTGTCCTGATGATAGTTCAAATTCTCACAACTAATATGAAAGGAATATTTGATAGTCAAAAGGAGAATTTTTTATTTAGGTCAGGAACTAATTTTCTTTGTTTTCAGTTCCAATCATGTCTAGATTGTCTTCATTTTGTTCCTGTGTCCTGCTTTTTGTCCTGATCCACTCAAGCCAGTCCAATAACCCGTTTAGCCAGTTTGGTGTATTTTGCAAACCAGAAACGGGGCGTCTAACAGTCAGCAAAACAGGTTGCGAGTCCCGGTATGTCCGAGTGAAAGCCTGTGTCGGCACATGCGCGTCACACACGCATCCGCTGGACCACCCGCCTTACTTCAAGAAATTCTGCAAATGCTGTAAGCCATCAGCTAAAAGATGGAAGGTGTTTAATCTGCCAAATTGCACCTCAGGGATCTCCCCCTCAGTACAAGTGGAATCTGCCGTGAACTGCAAGTGCTCCGCTTGCACGTGAAAGAAAAACATAAAATAAAATAAAATAAATAAAATAAAATAAAATAAAATAAAATAAAATAAAATAAAATGAAATGAAATAAAATAAGATAGAATAAAAAAATAAAAGTTCACAAAGTGAGGGGCAGACATTTGTTTGGGACGTCCTTAGACTCAGATAGAATTTATTTAATTCATGATACGACAAATAAGAGAATTAATGTCACACACACAATATTTGTGTCACACAAGGCTTGATTAAACTAGTGTGAGTAGGTGTGTAAGTATTTTTGGAATGAATTTAATTGCAAATATAACTGCTCTTACTAATAGTATACCGGCAAGTCATGGTAAGTGGGAGGGCTGAATATCAGCGAATAATAAACTGTGGCATCAGACCGGACTCTGAGCCAATCAAATTAACGGATTTGCAATGAACCAATCAAATTAACGGACTCGCAATGAACCGACCGAATAAACAGATTCGCAATAAAGCAATCAAATTGCACCGCGGTTGCCTTGGTTCCGATAAGAGGCTGACGCTCGAAACTGCAGCTTGTCAAAGTCCAAGTCGCTCTGGCGGTTTCCCCTACTTAGTTAAGTTGATAATCATAAGGTAAGTTGTTTCTTCTAAAATGTTCTATTCCATGTACTGAACAGATAAACACGTTTAGTCAGGTTCTTAGAAAGTAAAAAAGGAATGCTTTCCCCAAAGCGCAATCTCGAAGTCGCTTCGTGATTCAATGACGCACTTGTGTAAAAGAACATTTAATTCTCGAGATCTTTGATCTCCCTTGGTCTGTACACCATCAGATTCAGTGCCGTACAAATCACAGGATGGGAATCGATTTTTCATATTTACACACTTACCCTAATAACGTTTTTCTATAACGTAATTAGTGCAAGGACTCCGGCACTGCTTTCGAGCATGGTCACATGCAAGAGTACAAAGTATCAGCTTAGAGGTATAACAAGCGCGTAACTCCTCGATTTTGTTCCTACTATATATGAAAAACTCGATCACCTACCGGGGTGCTGTAGTTTGGAACACTGCATCAACGTACTGTACTGATAATTTTAAGCAATTCTTTGCCGAAGATAGAAAACACAATTGGACTTGAAAGCGACCTCGATTCAAACGCAAAGCAAGAACGTGACAGACTTTTAGTTTTATCGATGTGAATGAATACGTATATGATTATCATTATCACTGTTCATATTTCTGTTATTCTTAAACTTTTAGCTGAATACACGACCCCACAAGCAAATCTGCTGATGCTTTAAACCAAATCGTCTTTAAACAAAGGATTGTTGTTGTTGTAGGAGAAATTTTAAATTTGCTTTCGCTCGGGTTTAATAGGGAACTGTCGCTTGTAGTTGCTCAACACGCCCGCGCAAATGTTCAGAGTACGTTTATAGATCATCAAAATGGTATCTTCATATCTCAGGGCGTACAAGCTGATGAAACAAAAATTTATTCCGGTTGCACACTCGTAACAGTTGACCGTGACCTTCCACTATTAATATTTCTTCGCACAAAAGCTGAGGAAGGTAAATATAAGAAAAAGCCAGATAAGCACGGCAAACTAATTTTGCTGTTCAAATTTAAAGGGTACGTATTGCACGAGCAAGCGACCTTTCTTGACATTTTTTTTGTTTTCGTTAAAAGAAAACAAACAGGAAGATTTTTTTGCCTGGGCGCACGTGCCTCCACAAAATCACATTAACAGGAAAAAAAGCAACGTACATAGCAAGGAAGTGACTCTGTTCCTGCATGGTTACCGAAGATAGCTGCAGAAATGTTTCCGTTTGAACAACAGGATTGATGAAACTCAAATATCTCTACGCCTCAAAACGCCAACTACTGAGGGCGAGTGATTTCTGTGAGCAAATTTGTCCTCGAAGACAAATAATGGAAATTCCAAGTGTACTATACCAGTTAAATTCTGATTATCACTGTTTTGTTCCCAACGATTTTAGATCATTCTAGGATCAACAACAAGCAATCTCTTCAAGAAAAGTTTTCTTTTAGAAATTTCTGTTAACTGAAAAATATTTGACAGCTATGGACTTTACAATGGGTTTTTAATACATTGACTGATTTATAATTTCCAACGACTAGTTGAGCATAAATGTTGGTCCAAACTCTGCCGAAGACGTTGCTATAACCGTTGGACACTGGATTCACGGGAAGAAATAAACAGGACTAATATAATTACAACAGTATGAAAGTCAGATATCTTTTCGCCTCACAGTCAAGTACAAGTGATTTCTGCAGGAGAATTTAGTGCTTCAAGAAGCCTTGACTACTGAAGAATGCGGCCAGTTATACCCCAAGGTTCTGTCGCTTGTTTCACTAGAGACAAACGTGTTTTTTCCTTCAATTTGCTTTTTTACGAATTTCTCTTTAAATTCCGTTTCTTTTCGATTAGTTAAGTGACACTTACTTGAGTGTTATAGACTTCACAAATAGTTTTTCATGTATAAACCGATTTTAAAATTTTAAAGCATTTTTCAACGACCCTTTCATACTTTTCATACTGAGCAGCATGAATCTCGTCTAAAATTCTGTCTTAATTCGACTAAGCATCTGATATGTATCTGCACCATAGAGTATAATTTTGGATTGAGTCAAACTGCGAATAGAAGTTGACGAAGGGTATAAACATCGTCGGGAGTGGGTGGGTGGGTGGGGGAGGGGGATATCAGCGAATACTGCCCCGAGTTTACTATGGCTGAGCCAATCAAATCAATGCATTCGCAATGAACCATGGGTGTTTGGTTCCCATAAAGGTTAGCGCTCGAACTGAAAGCTTTTTTAAGTCCGAGTCGCTCTGACGGTTACCCCTACTTACTACAAGTTGATAATCGAAAGGTAAGTTGTTTCTTCCAAAATGTCCTATTTTATGTATTGAAGATATAAACAGGTTTAGTCAGGATCTTAGAGAGTAAAAACGGATTGGTCTTCTGAAAGGCTATCTTGTAACAAAGTCTCTTTGAAATGAACGACATTGGGCAATTATCTCTCGAGAAGACACGTGCAATATTCGAAATTGTTCTCTAGACTCCTTAAACTTGCACTTTGATCTTTGACAAATTTCCTTTTTGCTGGACTGAAGAAGCTGTACAACAGAGCATTGAATTCTAGCAAGAGAGAGAATAAACGTTAAATTTGCTTGGGCTCGGGTTTAATAGGGAACAGCCGATTGTACTTGTTAAAACGCCCGCGAAAATGTTCAAAGTACGTTTATAGATAATCAAAATGCTATCTTCACTGAATCTCGAGGCGGACAAGCTGATTCAACAAGGAATTACTTCGCTCGTACAATCGTAAAACTCACCTTGGCTCTGCTTATAATAATTGGTATTTCGTCCCACAAAAGGAAGATATTTATAAATATATTGAAAAGCCAGATAAGCACGAGAAACTAATTTTAAATTCAATTTAATAGGTACTGCACAAGCAAACTACATTTCTTAAGGCATAGTTAGAAAAAAGAAAAGCAGGAAAATTTTTGTGCTGCCTCCACAAAGGATTCACGTCCACAGGAAAAAACGAAGAATATCCGTATAGGAAGTGATCGTTTTCCTGGTTACCTAAGTTAGCTGTAAAATTTTTTCCGTTTTATACAGTAGGACTGATGAAACTCAAAGATCTCTTCGCCTCAAAATTTATATAAGCAGAAGTTGTCCTCCATAGATAAAAAAAAATGGAATACTAGTTGTATTCTGGGTATTCAGACTGCCTTGTTTCTGACCGATTTTATAATCAAAAGCAGACGATTTTTTTGTAACAAATGTTCTTTTCGAGGAATTTCTTTTAACGGCTTTTTCTTTTGATGAATGGTCAACTGAAAACTATTTGATTATGATGGACTTCACAAATGGTTTTTTCACATATATAAACTACTGCCTGGGCATCTAACCCTAACCCTATAAACTGCTGTATATCTTCCAACGACCACTTGATACTAAATACAAAGACCCTTTTACTGGGAACTAAAGCTAAAAAGAGCATTAATTTTGGGCCTAAAATCTGTCATTCGTCCACGAGGCTATTCAATAATTACGGGAACCGCTGGGCATTGAAATCACGGGAGAAAATAAACAGAGCTAAGAAAATAAGTAACTGTGTGAAAGTCAGATATCTATTCGCCTCACAATCATTGAAAGTTTCAAGGACAAGTGATTTCTTTAAGAGTAAAATTGTGTTTCGAGAAACCTTCACAAGAAATGGAAATTCAAAATGCGACCAGTTTTACCCTAAGGTGTTGTGGCTTTTTTCATTACAGGCAAACTTGTTCATTTTTTCCTTTAATTAGCTTTTTTACGAACTTGTCTTTTAATTTTTTCACGATTCATAAACCATTTACATTTTTCAATGACCCTTTCATTCTATTTACAAAGACCCTTTTTCAGGCTAAAGAGCATAAATTTGGGCTCAAAATCTGTCGTCGACTAAGCATCTGATAATTACCAGCACCATAGGACTTATGATTCACCGGAAAAAATAAACGTAACTACGGTCATTAGCAACGGGCGGGCGTAACTGGGTAACATTAGCAACGGGCGTAACTACGGTCATTTCGCTTCCTCCGACGCCCGCGCTACTCGCGACATGCGGCTTCACTGCTTGCCCCTCGAATATCGTGTTTGTTCGCCTAGTTTTGCGTCCTTTCCCGTTTTAGAGAAGACAGAAAGACATAAGCACAGCCTGATATATTGGCGGTTTTTACAAAACCGTTCTGGCTTGCATAGTAAACAATTGTTGTTTTCATTGCCGGTGGTTCAAAAATCTGAACCCTAGAAGAGCGCTTTTAGTTGTATAGCTCAAAGGATTTTGAAGAGTTCGATCAAATTTGTTGAGCCTAAAAAGCTTCATCTAACCATATTTCAATCCCTTTCGCCCTTAAAACGGTATTTTTCACTCAGCAATCATGGAAAACTAAAGAACAAAACAGCGCGCTCAGAAATCTCGTGCTTTTTGTTACTCTTTGCCACCTAACCGGAAACTTCAAAAGATTTACACAAGTGTGTAATAGAGAGAGCTTGAAACTTTGCCAAAAGATTATACCGGGTCAAATATTGATCAAATTTACTTCAAGCCACATGTGAAGATGTAATCCCTTAATCCGGGTAATTAGTTCAATCGGTTTATGGTCAAGGAGCCCGAGGGCGAAAACGATATAGTCTAAATACATCTTAATTAATTAAGTTAATTGGGGCAATTTTGGTTTATCAGGCCCTTTTGTTTTCGTGTCCTTTTTGGTTATTTTGACATTTTTCTTCGATTTTGAGATAAATTTGTCTCCACGCCGCAGAATTAGTTACTTATCTGTTGTGATATAGTTTTTAAAATTCTTTAATTCCAGTTTCATCCAGGCCATTGGTACAAATTTTCCTCAATTAGCCTGCGATCACGCGGTTTTTTCTTTTGCTGTGAGAAAAAGAACTCCTAATAGCAGATTAATTATTCCGCAATAGCCTAAGATTTTTCAGCATCTGTTTTACGTACTGCGTTAACTGTTTTGTAATTGTGATGTAAATTTAATTGTAATTGTTTGAGCAATTAAAGAAAAAAAGAAAAAACACGTCTGTCTTCTCCTTAAAGACCGAACACTATCTGGAGACAGGTGATGAGAATCAGAAAATTATCAAATAAGGGATATTGTCTCGACGAAACATCGAATTCCCACAACCAATATTGAAAGATAAGTATGACAGTCAGAAGAATAATTTATTGTTTAGTCACGAAGTTACTTATTTTCTTTGTTTTCAGTTCTAGTCATGTCTAGATTGCCTTCACTTTGTTGCTGTGTCTTGCTCTTTGTGCTGATCCACTCAAGCCAGTCCAATAACCCGTTTAGCCAGTTTGGTGTCTTCTGCAACACCAAAATGGAGAATCAACTAGTCAATAAAACAGGTTGCGAGTCCCGGAATGTGCAAGTGAAAGCCTGTCTTGGCACATGCGCGTCATACGCTCGTCCGCTGGACCACCCGCCTTACTTCAAGAAATTCTGCAAATGCTGCAAGCCATCAGTTAAAACGTGGACGGTGTTTAATCTGCCAAATTGCACCTCAGGGATCTCCCCCTTAGTACAAGTGGAAGCTGCCGTGAGCTGCACCTGTTCCGCCTGCTCGTGAAAGAAAAGAAAAGAAAAGAGGAAAAAATATCGAGTGTCCAAGACAGAGAATATTTTAGATAGCCTTTGACCGACCTCCTGCCGTTGATTGTTAGTATAGGATGAACAGAATTTATTCAGTTACAGATGCGACAAAACGGATGTCAGGTGACAATTAAACCGTTCTAATGTCACGCAATCTTTGTGTCACACAAGACCTGTAGTAATGGTATCTTGTGTAAATTTTTAAGTCATTTTGTAATAAAATAAAAATCTCAAAATTGAAAGTGTTGCCTTGCTGACTGTTTTGAACTGTACGTTGACGAAAGACAGCTAAATTAGCTTCACTAAGTCACGTCTCACATGAGCTACTCTCACCTGAACATTTCCTTGCTAAAAATCAAAACGAGCGAGAGCGCTTGCTATCGCGGATTAGTATAAATCTACTAGCGTTCTATCACGAATGCCGTTCTCTGATTGGCTACGCTACTCACTATCTATTCTGTGATAGTAGGGTAGCAGTGTGCCCATGTTAACAAAATGACGGCCGCTTCTTGGCGTTTTCGAAGTGTCCGTGAGGAGGATTTCGATAAAGTATTGAACGACTAGTGGATTTATACTAAAACAATTAGATTATTCGCCCTCGATTTCTATGCGTGATAGTTGACTTGGGCTGTGCCCTCGTCAACTATCACGCGATAGAAATCTCGAGCTCATAATCTAATTGTTAAATGGTCAACAACGGGACAACGTTTGAAATTCATGGATTCACTTCCTCTGACGAAACTGTTAACGCTCGAAACGTTGTCTTCCCAAATTCGCCGTGAGGGTTAACGTGCCTTCATTGGTTTCAAGTTGTTATAAATAAGTTAATTTATGCGAAATTGTCCTATTCTGTATCAACAACAACCGAAATGTTTCGCCAGTAGAGAATCTTACAAGGGAAAAACAGATTTTTATTGTGAATCGCAATCTCATTATGATTTAATTTTGCGCGGTTTTTCCCTCTTTCCCTTCATTGTAGCGTACCGTAAAAATTCATTTTAATAAAATGGTTGCTTATAGCTTGCACGATTAAGGGGGGAGGGTGCTAATTGGAGACCGGAACTACGTGGCATTCCCCTTTTCCTTTGCTCCAGGCACAAACTCGCTAGCGACGGATAAGATACTTTCTCTAAGCCCCCACATAAAAAATAAATAAATAAATAAAAACGAGCGATAGAACGGGGTGGAGGTTCCCGTGCCTCGTCATAGTCCCCCGTTTTCTACGGCGCCCAAGAGAAAACGGTTTGCATTTTTAGACTCGGGCAGTTCCTCCTGAAGTCCGAGTATAAACTAGTGCTGCCGTTTTAGGCACCGTCTTGTTTTAGGCTCCGTTTTCAAATTGTTTTCCTTCCACTCTAAAACGTAAAGCCGGCGTTTCCAAATTCTTCCTGCGTGAAGTGCGTTTTCAGAACGCGCCGTTTTCGTGACGGATTAGTGTGGATGGTAGTCCTGACCGGAGAAATAATGTTGCGTTTTCAAATTTCTCCGATGTAATGGGGACGGGGCCCGGCGTAGCGCGGACGGGACTTAAATAGACAAAAGAAAACTCAGTATGAACAGAAAAAATATTTTATTTTAAAAAATATCTTTTTTTCTGCTACATTTACGAAATATATAATTCTGAGAGAAGGCCTTTCGAGCCATTCTGCGTCATAAGTACATCAGTGTTTGATTCTGCAGTTTTAACAACTTTTTCCACTTTTTAAGTTAGCACTAGAAATTGTCCTAAGTATTTGTCAGGCAAGTTCTTGGTTTGTTCAGAAGAACAGATGGCGTTATGAGACCAGCAAAGAATGCCCTTGGAAGAACATACTAAAAGAACCAATTTTCGCTGACAAAAAAGGCTAATTTTTTCTTACTCAAATTCACTTAGAAGAGAAATTAAATAATCATATTTCAAGTCAAGTTTATAAGCGTCTTTGCGCGTTTACACGTAGGACAATACTTTCGCTCAGCAGCATCAACATGAGGCACATGCGCACTCGGTGGCAGTCTCGATTTGGTGAAAATACTCGACAAGTTTGGAAGGGTCGTTCTTATCTTGGCACCACAAGCCCACAGCAACCGTTTTTGTTTTAACCTGCTGACAACACGTGCACGACTCGACTTGTTTATAGTTGTTTCCAGTTGGCGTCGAGAAGGACAGACAGGTCCCTAGACACGTATTGACGGTCACCTCCCGCTCCTGGCATCCCGTCACGCGAACCTTAAACTTGTATCCTCTTTGGACACAGTGTACGCTCTTCAACGCATCTTGCATAGGGTTTGCCAGCAGACAGGATAATGAAGACAATGCTACCAAGGACGTGAGTAGAAATATTCTTGAAGTCTTTGCCATTTGTAGATTTGGAATTAAGCTGTGAAAAGAGCAGGAAAAATAATGTAGAATTGTACTTGAAGTGAGGTCACCGGCACGTGCTATGTGCGCAGTTTGCCGAACAAAGGCGTGCTAATATTCTACTCCTAATTGTATTACCCGCAAAACACGTGCAGAAAACTCAATAGGAATTTTCATGTTTTCTTGTCACGGTAAACACAAAACAAAGTCGTTCCAAAAGACAACAACAACAACAAAACCAGGAAAAAAAAAAAAGAGAAACTGGAAATGAACATACTCGTTATATCAGAAAATATTACTTCTTCAAACAAAACCCGCATAAGCCACTTAAGTTAAGAAAAACGTATAAGAGTGCTACAGAAACAGATGGTAAAATAAGAGCTGCCTTTTTCTCTCGGTTTTTGTTTTTAATTTTCTCAGTATTGTTGTCATTTTAAGTGAAAAATACAGTGGAATCCCGCCTTACGGCCCACCCCGTTAATACGGTCACTTTGTTATTACGACCACTTTATTCTGGCCCGACCAAAAGCTCAGTCAATCATTTTCTTATTTAAAGAACCCCTTTAATACGGCCACCCCGTTAATATTAATACGGCCTGATTTTTGTGGTCCGTTGGCGAACGGATTAACGGGGTTCCACTGTACACCACACTGCCCATCGACCTCACCCCGCCCCTTCCATGGGCCCTAATTCCCCCAGAAAATGTGGCTTGTATGATCATAATCTGGATTCCCATTACTGAATTTAGCCACGTATTAACAATTCTCTGATCGTTTGCTACGTTCTCCTGACCCTACCCAGCTGTCTTTGTATCCTTCTTTACAAGGAAAATTTGATCCCGCTTTTGTTCTGTACAGGCGATTCTTCTTTCATCGACGGTTGCTAAGCTACAGTCACATTGGAAACTCGTTTGTCCCCATCACCCACATGTTCCTTAGTGCCAAGTCCTTTCCGAGGGGACCTTTGCAATCTCGCTCCCATGACGCGCGGAGTTTGCGTGTGGGCATGACAACAGGTTGGTGTCCCCTTACACGATTAAAATCCTGTCCGAGATTCGTGAAATTTTCTTATTTCTGCTCAATCGGTAGATTTTAAGTAATTTAAATAATTGGGAAATTAAAAGACGGCAAACAAAACTTTCTTGCCTTTCTTGAAGTTAAATATTGAAAAAACTAGTGCTTTTTAACGCCAGGTCCATCTGGCATTGTTTTAATCAATTAAGACGAAATCCGATAGAAAATCGAGCAACTTCAGGTTTTGACAAAAATCTGGTACCAGAATGATTTTAAGTATTTTACAGTCATTTTTATCTTTTCTTAAAGGTAAATACATAAATTATTTCCTGAAATAACACCGAAAACAATTTCTCATGGAAACGAGAGAAAATGAATTTCAAAGTTCAGAGAACTTTTGCAAACACAGGAAAAATTTCATCATCAGTTTCATTTCACCAGTACTTTCAAGTGTTTCATACGAAGTTCAACATTCGTTTTCGACGTTTGGTGTTGCTAGAAATCATTTTTTTTGAGAAGATATTTAAAACAGTCGTACAGAAGTTTGCAATACGATGTAAATAATCTTGGTACTAGGTTTTTGTCCACTGGTTACTCGAACTTCTGGTGGATTCTGTCTTAATGTTTATAAACATTATCCTTTTATAAATTAGGATCATTACAAAAATATTACAATTTGCCGTTGAATAGAACTATAGAAAAAACATTGGGGATATTAAATTTGGAGAGTTAATGTTGTAAGGCTGTAATCTATTTTCAAATAAGGTCTTTTTTTAACGCACTTAGTAAACAGATTTTTGAATTATATTTGAACGCAGAGTGGCATATAAATTTGATTTAACAGACCTTTATTTCAAACGATAACAGAGGAACAACGCAAAGATTATCATTTGATAATATGCTAACTTGGAATTGCTGCAGTTTAAAGAATTATGAAAAAACGAAGCTTGTACAGTACTTACGTCCTCAATACTTTGTTAAATGTTTCTCCCAACGGCAGTTGACGGTTCTTGAGCTCAAGGCACTTGAATTCGAATGTACTGTGGAGAGTATCGCTCCCTTTTTTCCAGAAGATAATATCTTTTCTGTGGCACGCTCCAAAATGTCCAATGTGGAATGGCTTCAAGTGACTCTCTACACTTCGCTTCAGCTAAGCACGCTCAAACCTTGTTCGCTTGCTCTTATTGCGTACTACACGAATGATCCGACCGTTGCACACATACAAATTTACCGGTTAACCATTGAGATATCTTGTTACAGCACTGATGGCTTGTTTGCCACGTGAGCTCGTATTTCAGTAACCTTTTATCCGTCGGCAAGGCAAAGAAGTAACGAAAACAAGATTAAAACCTGGGACTTAAAAACGTCATGTTGCGTTGCGAGCAGAAAAATCACCACGAAAAAACAAAAATGATGCGCTTTTTTTAATTCCACACGTGAAAGTCATTTTTTTGTCAATTTCATAATCATTTTATCTCGCGTGCGAGCGTGGCTAAAAATGCAAATGTTCAACAGTAAACAAATCGAGAGCTAATAGCTCACATGTAAAAGCTGCATGAATAGTGTGTCATGTTACGGCATGGCCGTTTATTTTGGCGGGACGCACAATTTTGTTACAACTGTCGCGTGGAAAGCATAAATTCGATTCCGTCTGGCGACCCAGGATTCACGTCCGGTGCAATCAATTAAGATATTTCGGGGGACGGTACGGGAAGAGGAGTTACTGATAATTTGCGCGGTCGAGTGAGGGAGAAAGAGAGATCGCAGACTAACGTTTTGGAAACTAAAAAAAAAAACTAAACTAAAATAAAAAACTAAAATAGCTACAGAAAAATCATGCAAAAATTAATTATCTTAGTTCAGATGATCGAGAAAAGTCTATTTTGATACAAAGATATTTCATAGCTGTGAAAAAAAAAACTGGTGTAGGCGTTGAACAGGATTAAACCCCCTCTATTTTCGAACACCCACTCCCCCNCCCCCCCCTTGATGTCAACTACTACAAGTTAGACTTCCTCTTTACACGTGTAAATTTAGAAGTCAACTAGAGTTGTCTGCGTTGGACGGTCCCATGAAAGATCTCAAAATGATGAAGAACATTGCACGCAGAAAGGGTTTAGCTGCAATGCGGTTTTCTACAAGTGGACTGATTTCTTTCTAAACCGCGAGATTTATAAGGAAACAAAAGGTGCGCCACAAATGACATTGTGGTGAGCAGAGAAACTGCATACTTTAAACAGTTGGGAAAAGAGACGTCAGCAAATCAACGTGGCGCTTGCTAGAAACTACGACAAATAGTCCCCCACGAACTTCACTGCACGATTAGATTACAGTATAAAACATCTCGTATCACCTGCCTTGTTGGCCAATCACTGAACGCTTAAAAATATCTCAGTTGATATGGACACGTATAAAAGACAAACCCCTCAAATTTCGAAAGTACACATTAATAAAGCGAGTGTGGGAGGAGGAAGACGAAGAGATCAGCATGGTTTTGACGTCATTAAATCTTTCGTCCCAACAGTACAGCTAACGAACAAACAACTCATCTTTGCAAGCATGCCTGAATTTTGCTTAGCTTAGCGCGAAAATGTTTGCGGGCATAAAACGGAAAACTTTTCCGTTTTATGCCCGCAGACATTTTTGCGCTAAGCAAAATTCAGGCATGCTTGAACTCGTTAATTTTGTTGTCTTTGCAAAGGCGGTAATAATTTTTGCAGACACAAATATCCCTCATTTTTGGCGTTCTTCGAGAGGTTAGGAGTCAAAACGTTTTTCCACTGAAAAAAAAACTCGTTAATTTTGTTGTTGCAAAGGCGGTAAAAACATTTTGCAGACAAATTCATGTACAACTCATTTTTGGCGTTTCGTGGGAGGTTGCGAGTCAAATTAAAACGTTTTTCACTGAAAGACGATTAGAAGCGAGAAGAAGGGAAAATAAGAAAGTTAAAGGGTTGAACGAGAAAACGTGGCGAGGTGACAGAATCATCCGGACGCATATATGCCCCAAAGGTTATTCCAGGTAGCCACTACTCTAATTAATTTTAATCCGGCTTTTTTTTGTCTATAATATCAACGCTTCTTTGGTAACCTTGAGCGTAAATGAAGCGTTGTTGTTGTACGTTGTTGCAACAAGGTTTTCAATAAATTGAACTTGCAACGTCTATAAAAGTGGTGTTCTTTGCAATGTTCGCGGTCTGAGTCCGACAAGCTGGTTCGAAAATAGTTGTGTTCCCCTTGACCGACATGAAAATCATCAATCACTTACAGCGCCAGGTGCCTTATCATGTGTTTTTTTTTTTTTTTTTTTTTGTATTTCAATAATTTTTATCTAGTGTAAAGTTACAAGGAAGAAAATTTGCTTTGCTGCGACGCACCTTATCGGAAATTCGGGACTACTGTAAACGTTATGGTCTTAGTTGAAAGGACGACAACGAAAAATAACAGAAACATCTTTAAAGTTATTATTTAATTCAGTTACGACTACTACATTTTAAACAAATATTAAAATGATGAGGATGATTCGCTGACCAAGACTTCGCCTAATTACAAACATGAAGTAAGCGGAGATCGATCTTTCCTTCTTTCCTATCTGAGTCATGAAAAGCTTCAAAGGTTCAAGACACGCGCGGTGCAAACACAACACGCGCGCAGTGCCAACACGCCAGACGCGGATTACGTAATATCCTCGATCTTGAGGGTATATCCTGTCTCTGAAGTACTCTTTATAAGGAGTTCACCTGACTTCCGGTATCATTTCGGAAACGCGGAACGAGCGTTGAAGCAGGAATTCTTACTTTCGCTTGGAAATTGTGGTGCTGAAAAGAAGGAAATAGAAATTCAATAAGTACAGAGATGATTCTTTTTTCCGAGTGTCTAGCTTTTCGTTCCGTAAATAACAGCCTGCATCTCTAGTAACTACAAAACAATTTCATCAAGATTGCACAGTACAAAACATCAACAATAAGTTTCTTATTTAAAGGACTTATACGTCATAGTTTGGGCGTCCTGAAAAGCTTAGCATAAATTTTTGTAGTTCGTAGTTTGTAAACCGTGTTAATCTTCTCAATCCTTAACCATCCTTGTTCGTTTATGGCTTATTATTATCTCTTTGGTGTTCTTCTACCTTAGTAAACTATTATTTTCAGGTTTCCTTAAAAAGGTAATTTTGTACAAGATGTACTTGGCCAAAATAGCTTAAAATACAGTGACTGAGCTCCTTTAAGATGTAAGCTATGTGGAATGAGCCTGCAAAACATGAATACAAATAAAAGAAAATGTACTAAAATGTATACTGAATATATATCTGCGATGTTTCACTGGAAACACCCGTCAACATTCGATACGCCTTGTTAACGAGAGGGACCCAACAAGGTCGAAACTACTGACCGTGGCTGTGAATTACGCGGGCGTTTTCTTGCGATGAAGCATAACGCCAAACACCAGCTGGCCCGGGTTGTTCGAAAGGTGGATAACGCTATTCACCGGATAAATCACTATCCAGCGGATAGCGTGGTTTGTTTTGTTAACACTTTTTCACTGGATAACGATTTATCCGGTGGATAGCGTTATTCAGCCTTCGAAAAACTGGGGCCAGGTCTTCCAACCTGTTTTGAGTCTAGCAGTATAGATTTTCCTGGAAATGCTCTGTTCGTACTCAGAATTCGCCAACGACACATAAAATGTAAATTGGTTTGTAAGGCAAAATACGTTCAGGAGTTGGTGGAGTGTCGCCGATTTTGAGACCGCTCCATTACTGAAGGCACCCCGTCAATAACTTCGGAAAACAACAGGCTAGCGAGATCATGCGTGACGTCAAAAGTGTTAAATCAGATTGGGCGAGGAAACCAAAACAACTGACACCCACCCTGTGGAGAATGTTTGTCCTCCTCCGCTAAGAATAACGAATGGCGACTGGGCAGTTTTCTGTTTCTCAATAAGAAGTGCAGCGGTGTTGAGTGGTGTGTCACCGGAGTTCATCTTTTGAAGCGCCTGTAGAGAAAGAAACTAGAGTCAGTCAAAAGTGCGTAGAGAGTGAGGCCCCGTCCGTACTAAACCGGAGAAATTTGAAAACGGTGTTTTCACTTCGAAAAGGCATCAAATGTTTTCCGTCCACACTACGCCGGAGGAATTTGAAAACGCAATAATCACCGATTATTTTGGATTTGTGTTCGAGGAAAACTTGATCGGGGAAATCAAATGATTATCGTGACTCCATTGGTTTTGAAAAGCTTCGTTTCCGTCCGCACGAAAACGAAAAGCCAGCATTTTCAAATTCCTCCAGTTTGAAGAGCGTTTTCGAAAAGCTCCGTTTTCGTGACGGATTAGTGTGAACGGAAGGCCTAACCGCAGAAATAAAGCTGTGTTTTCAAATTTCTCCGATGTAATGTGGACGGGGCCTGGGAAGTGTGCTCCGGTATTACTCATAACCGAAAAAGAATGCTTGTAACAAAAACCACTCTTAATTTATGCCAAACCTTGTTAACTGATAAGGAACTAGGCCATGCCCCATTCCTCATCGTTGTTAATCGGCAGCAAGGAATGATGAGATGGCAGTTGCATTTCTTGGTAAAACTAGAAGGTTCTGTGCTGATACAGTGACCTATCATACTTAATAACTTACCATCTCTTCCTGGTGTTTCTTGTTTCGCTTTTCTGACTTCATCTTGCCGGACGCTTTACCGTGAAACTTGTGTGACATGTAACGAAACGCCTGTGACAAGAAAAAGAAAATTCCGCTCTAGCAAAAGGTTCCAACAAAAGAGGATAGAAGATCTGTGAATCTATAAGCAATTGTCTCCTTTTGGCGCGAAAATATTCTCAGATATTTGTCCTTGGATGTCATTTGTTCCGAGAAGCGAACAGTTTTCCTTGAGCTTCGCTACTGGAAAGCTGTTCGCTTCGAGGAACAGATGATGCCCAAGGACAAATATCTGAGAATATTATCGCGCCAAATGGAGGCTACTATGTTTATTACCCTTCAAATATTTTTCGCAACACGCGTAGTTTTGAAAACTGGGAAATATCACTCAGATATTCCCCAGTTTAGCTGGGGCATATTCAGTCACATGATGCGTTTAGACCAATCGCATGCGAGCGAAAATATTTGATGGATTACTAGCTGTAATATGTACACCTGTGTACCAGAGGCCTTTCCAGGTCAACTCCGTAGGGTAGCTCGTCAAGTCGGCCTTCGGCCTGTATCCTAATCCACGTTTGCGAATAACCCCCTCTAGTGACCATTGTTCATTGCGCAATGACCCAATAAGACCAATAGAAGAATTCGAATAAAAAATTTATAATCCATCAAGTATTTTCGCTCTCGCGCGATTGGTTTAAACGCGTCACGTGACTGAATATGCCATAGCTTAACCTAGGACCGATACAAACATCCTGCGTTTTGCGAAAATATTTGAAGGAAAATAGACAAAATAGCCTCCATTTGGCGCAAACATTTGCTCGGATATTTGTCATTGGACATTATCTGTTCCTCAAAACTCACAGTCTTACTCGTGCTACGCTCTCGGAAAACTGCTCGCTTCCCGGACAGGTGTCCGCGGACAAATTCGCACCAAATGCAGGCTATTGTTTATGTAACCAGTAACGAACACGAGAAATCTCGTAACTAGCGCCAAGTGCGGGAAAATTTGAAACCAGTGGCAAGCGTGGGCACAGTGCAACTGAAAACTGGTGACTGGTGAAAAGCGCGGGAAAAATGCTTAGCAAAGCATGTAACCATCGGCAAACGCGGGAAAAATTTGAAACCGGCGGCAAGCCCGGGAAAGTTAATTCCAGTTTTGCAAATGATTGGTTAACAAGTCAACAACTTGGCTCCTATTGGTCAAAGCATGCTACACGAATTTAGTACAGTACTACGCTGCGCAAACGCTCAAATAAAAAAAACCCCGTTCTTTTCGGAGATCATTAGAAACTGCGCTAAACAAAGAATGAAAATCAGTCCTTATCTCACCTCTTTAGGAGTGAGAGCGCGGCCATTATCATCAAAATATTCCAGCTTTATGTCCGGTTTGTACTCTTGCTTGCTCTTTGATGATCCGCTGCCGTATCTGAAAAAATAACAAGGAATCGTTGTTCAACATCTAATTTCTCCTTATAATATCAATACATGATCAAGCAGACAAGTGGTGAGAATAAAGAAATTCATCAACTAAGTGATACAGTCCTGATGAAACGCGAAATTCTCAGACTTGACATTACAGAAATGTATGGTTACGGTTAAGGAGAGTTGAATGGTGATCAAGGAATAAACTTAACTTACCTGTCTCTGATGTGAAGTTTACATGAAATAATTCATATATGAACTGCGGTAGTAGATGAAAGTGAAGAATGATCATCGCAGTTAATTTTCCAATTCA